TGGTCCCAGCTACTTGGGAGGCTGAGGCAAAAGAATTGCTTAAGCCTAAGTGTTGGAGGTTTCTGTGAGCTGTGATGCTATGGCACTCTACTGAGGGTGATAAGTGAGACTCTGTCTTAAAAAAAAAAAAGGAAACGACTAGTCACCAGAATACAAAAAATACTTCTGAGTCCACTTGGTAGATTCCAGGAATTTTCTCGTCAAGACAGGGTCTCTCTCACTCTGTTGCCCAGGCTGGAGTGCAATGGTCATAGCTCACTGCAAGCTCAAATTCCTGGGTGAAAGCAATCCTCCTGCTTTAGTCTTCTGAGTAGCTAGACCAACATGTGCCAAAGCACCAAGACCAGCTAATTTCTTTATTTTTTAGTAGAGACAGGGGTCTCACTCTTGCTCAGGCTGGTCTCAACTTGTGACTTCAAGCAATCCTCCTGTCTCAGCCTCCCAGAGTACTAGGATTACAGGCATGAGCCACTGCACCCGGCCCCAAAGAACTACCTTATAGATGCAATTAGAAATTGTAAATATGGACAGAAGAGTTAATATTCAGACTTAAAAGAAAATTGTGTGACTTGAGAAAATTATTTTATCTTAATTGTAGTGAAAGACTCTAGTGCTGCGTGGCGCCTGTGGCTCAAGGAGTAGGGTGCCAGCCCCATATGCCAGAGGTGGTGAGTTCAAACCCAGCCTCGGCCAAAAAAAAAAAAAAAAAGAAAAAGAGAAAGACTCTAGTGCTTAGTTATCACAATTCCTGAGAAAAAAACTTTACTACATGGCTGGGCGTGGTGGCTCACACCTGTAGTCCCAGCGTTTGTGGGAGGCTGAGGCTGGTGGATTGCCTGAACTCAAAGGTTTGAGATCAGCATGATCTAGCGTGAGCCAGAGTGAGACCCCATCTCTACCAAAAAAAAAAAAGCCGAGTGTTGTGATGGGCGCCTGTAGTCCCAGCTACCTGGGGGGCAAAGGGCAAGAGAATCGCTAAAGGAAGAAACAAACAAAAAAAAAAAATTAAAAAGAAATCAAAAACAAACCTTCAAACTAAAACAAGTGAAAGCCAGCTGAAATTGAAAGCAAAATTTAAAAAAAAGTTTACGGCT